TGTTCCACATCAGTCTGGATTAAGAGAATGGAGTGCCGGAAAATTCAGTCCTAGGTCCTGTACTCTTCATTGTTTTGAGTAATAGCTTAGATGGACGAGGTGGAGAGAATGCCTAACGGATTTCACAAAATTGAGTGGAATTGCTAATACTGTTTTAATTGATTAAAGAAAATAAAATAATAAAAGTTAAAATAAAATTGTGACATTTAATCAAGACAAAGTTTTTCACTTAGAAAGCAGAAATCAAATACACAGGTTAAAATAAGGATAGATGATAGAGATAGATAGAGATAGATAAATGATTGATTAGTCTTACAGCCATTAAAATAAGGAATACTTGGTTCAGTAATAGTAATTGTGAAAAAAAGTTCTAGTAGTTGTTAATCATACACTGAATATGAGTCAAAATTTGATGTAGCTGAAAGTAGGCAAATAAGTTTATATGCATAAATTGAAATATAGTTTCTAAATCAAGTAGAGTAATCATTCCATTTTATTCTGCTTTGATCAGATCCCTCTTTCAATATTATGTCCTTTGTTTTAAGAAGGATCTGGAGAAACTGAAATAATTTCAGAGAAAGGCATGAGGAGGCTGAGGGGACTAGAAACTGTCCTAGAAAAAATGATTGAAGGAACCTTGAGAAGATGATAGCACTCTTCAAATACCTGAAGGTCATTGCACAGAAGGACAAGACTATAAGAGCAGTTCAACAGTAGAATCAATTACATAGAATGATGAGCAAATAAGGTGGCCTTGGAAAGTGCCTGTGATATTAGCAGTATAGGCAGTCCTTGTAGCCGGAATGATACAGTTCTTAAAAACTCTTGGATGATGCTATCAGGATATGATCACTTCTTACTGTGCAGTCTTTCAAGATGTCCTTAAGTATCTTCTTGTTACCTAAATTTGCTTTAGTTTTCCAATTCTCTTCTGAGAAACAGGCTCAGGTATTAAGCATTTTCTGCAATAAACACCAGTGCAAATAATTTATTCCATTTCTTTGAAATACACATATTCTCCTTGAGTGTCTCTCCAAATCCTTATTGTTTAACACTGAAAGAACTTCCCTGGCTGGCTTTTTGCTTAGAATGATTTAAGTTCTTATTATTTCCCTTAGTGTTTTTTGCTATACACTTCTCAAATCCTTTTTTTTTTTAACATTCCTTAATACTTTTTCTGCCAAATTTTATTTATTTATTTAGTAGACTTGTCCCCGCCCATCTCCCCACAATGGGGGACTCTGGACTTTTATGTTTCTTAGGACAGGTTTACCATTTCCTGAAGAAAGCCACTTTAACTTTTACAAAATGTTAAAAACCCTGAACTTCTTCTGGACTTGCTTGACCTTTTCTTACTTTGCATAATAGATTCCAGCTGAGCCCCAACCTATTGTGTTATTTTAAATAACCTCCAGGAATTATGAAGAGGTTTGGCCCTGTTGACTTTTCCTTTCAGTCTCTTTCTCATCCATCCCTTCATTTTTTAGAAGTTTCTCCTTTTGTGATGAAATGTGACAGCGTTGGATCCTGCTTGTATTTCCCATCTGGGAGAATGCTACATGTAATAGCATTATGGCCATTGTTTTAAATCATTCCACAATACTAACCTTGCACTAGATCTCAGTGATCACTTAAGATTAAATCTAGGATAGCCTCACCTCTATCAGTTCCAAAGGCCAACTGTTCTAAAGTCATAATAATGTACAATATCTAGAAATCTATTTCTTTGTCATAGTCTGAACATGAATGGATCAGGTTGAGGTTAAGTGAAGTCCACCATTATTACTACTTATCCATTGTCTGCCTCTTTAATTTCTTTTTCCATCTCAAGATTACCTTCAACATTTTGATCAAGCAGATTTAGCATGTAACTAAATCTAATTTATAGTTGTGGCCAGATATTGTCACTTATAGTGGAGGAATTTAGTCTTCCAATGTTTCTAGTACATTAGATTTTATACTTTCTTTGATATAAGGAATAACAGTTCCCTAATATACCCTTCCTCATGGTTCAATAAAGTTTGACTTTCTTCTTTTGGGGTTAAATACACTGGAGATGGCATGCTATTATTACTTGCCAAGTTAAATTATATCCTATGCTCCATTCTGACAGTATGAGTGAGATTATCTCAATAGGGGATCAGCTATTTTCCCTTCCCTTTGAACACAAAGAGGAAAATTCCTTCACCCAAATTAAATGCAAAGTTGTACCACCAGCAGGAGCATGGCTGTTATCAGGAGAAGTATAGAATGTGTGTATTCTTTTCTTTGTCCCATTTTAGCCTTTCCACAAGCATATCTGGATTGGTGGAGCGCTAGTTCTATAGCTATATTTGCATGTGGAATGCAAATATAGCTATAGCAATAGTGGCACAACATTCTACTGGCAGAAATAAATAACCAGGTGCCTTCCAGATAGCATAGATGAAAACACTGAGAATTTTTCATTGGCCATAGTGGCTGTGTCTGATAGGAGATGAAGATCAAATCACCTGGAGGGCTCCCACTTGCCTTTCCTTCTATCAGAATTCTGAGGTTTTTTGAAATCTTTTAATTCTTCAGTTGGGCAACCTCTGTATAAATGTATAATTGCACTTTTCATCATCTTTTTAATAACATTTACAAATGAGATATTTTTTTCAAATATGTATCCTTTTTTCCTGATTTTTCACATATCTAGCTTAAAAGTAAAGGCTCTTTCACGTTGAACTCAACCCTTGACGACTGTGTGTTTCTTATTCACAATAATGTGGAATTGGTTTACCATTCCATTCTTCTAGTCTAATTACTTCAGTTTTGTTTTTCAAAACTGTTTTGAAAATGTTCATGTTACCAAAGGAGGTAATCTTTAAGATGGAAATACATGGTTTTGTGCAATTTTGAATAAAAAAGAATCTGTTTTGCAAAATTCATTATATAGTCCAGCAGATGGCAGTTGAGCTTCGATTCTTCCATGTTCCTTTTCTAGATTTCTACCATTACTGTATTAAAAAAGTCAGCTTTGGAAAAGAAGATGCCAGCATAGAAATGATATACATTACAACATATATTAGATTCTTGATCTAATTAATTAAATTATTACTTCATCAGCCAAGTTACAATATTAAGCATAATGTAGGACATAACAATCCTGACAGGCGTAACTAAACAGCACAGCTATTCTGTCTGAAAATCAGGCTTAAATTCTGATTTTGAATTGTTGACCGGGAATTCCAGTTCCTGTGGAATTCTGAAGAAAGCCGGATTATAACGAGCATCTTCGCAGAGGTAGAGGTGAAAGATTAGATTAAAATGTGAGCTAAGCAGGATGTTTCTGGAAAAAAATAAAAGGACCCTCTTTTCCTTTCTCATTGTTCACTCCTCTACAGTACGGGAGTGAAATGTTGCAGTTTCAGCCTGGCAGCCAACTCAAAACTAAATCTTGTAGTACTCTACAGCAGAGCAGGGAAGGGGCATGGAAGAGCAAAGGCAAAGAAACCAATGCTTGTTTCTCTGTGTCCTTTCCTCAGCTTTTCCTCATTTCTAAATATCAGTGCAAATCTTTAGTTCCAGATTGCCAGGAAGTTAAGTTATGAACAGAATCCCTTGGGCATTTGTTCTAAAATTAACCTGCAAGTATTTAGTTAACTGCATGAAGCCAAAGAAACTGATTGCAGGAACAATAAGTAAACACTTATTCTGGGCCAGTTGTCCACCTGCCTAGCTTGATCCTAACTGGCTCTGCTGCCCTGCCTGTAGAAGTATTGCCTTTAAGCACTGCCTGTTAGGGTCCTTACCAGTGGGGAAAGAGGAAAGCCTTTAGGAAAGGCTACTGTTTGGTGGTTCAGTTTGTAATTTGCATAAGGAAGAGCAACTGCCTTTCATATTCACATGAGAAAAGAGCTCAGCCTAAGGCTTTGGGGAGGATGCTGCTGTCCAGGGCACACTGAGCTACAAGGACCAATGATCTGATTCATAAAAGATATTTGAAGGATGAAATTGCAAGGATTTCCCAAAGGCTGCCTCCTTTTCTGTCACAAGGGAGAGATTTTGGAGAGCCAGCGTAAATAGACTTTTTGACTGAAACAGCTGCACCATCTCTTTCTTCTAACTTTTTTTTTTTTTTGCTTTCCTACAGATGGTCTAGGATTAATGGCATGAGATTTGAAGAGCCCATTTCCTGACTCATAAAGCTGATACTGTGCAGAAGACTTAATATGCTGTCCCAGAGGAGGTGAAGATAGCATTACATCATTTCCATAAGCTTGCAGATTGCTTTTATACAAAATAGAAACAAGTTGAAAAGCTCTTCAGCATACCCTTCTCAAGATTATTTGAATCTGTGTGTGTGTGTTTAAAGAACAGAATATAGAAAAGGTGTTAAGAGGCACGAAATTGCTTGCTCGGGGATGAACTTCAACCCTCACCTTTATTAACCATACCGAATGGGGTTACTCAGAGTAGTAATTCATCTGGAGGGCCACACGTCCACCACCCCTGCTATTACATAGGACTGGGACTATTTTTCTCTACGGAGCAGTTATGCGTGATGTCGTGTGCAGAATTAAAGTTGGTCGTGGACAGATTGAAGGGTGCATGTTGATTGTCTTTCTGGCTTAGTTTTTGTGGCATCATCTACTCAGGGGGCTCAGACTTGCTGGAAATACCGGTGTTGACATCACGTTCTCGTCGCTGGAGAACAACCCGAGCGAATTTGCCGGCAGTCTGAACTGCAACACTACATGAATTGGTAGCTGTCACGCAGCTTTGCAAACGTCAGAGAGATCTCTCCCGGAAATAAAGACGGCAACCCCGCTCGCGCTTACTCGGAATTAAATCGCCCCGAACTTCACGGGCTTGGCTGCCCCAGACTTCGCTCAAGAAATGTTCCCAATATGCCCGCGGCAAGGCAGGCAACTTTGCAAAGCGGCAGGTAGGCAGGGACGCAGCTGACCCCAAGGAGCTACCCTTTCTCCTCCTCCTCCTGCTCGCAGACCTGCCTGCTTCGCCGGAAGATCCGGGTCGTGAGGAGGGAGCAGGAAGTCGGGACGTGGCCGCCCAGCTGAGCAGCAGGGGGCGAGGCAGGCGATGGCGGCCGCGGCGGCGCTCAGTTCAGAGCGGCTAGAGGTTTCCATTGATGGTCTGACCCTGAGCCCGGACTCGGAGGATGCTAGGCCGGGCCAGGCAGACACTAGGCCGCTTCCGCTCGCTGGCAGCCGAGGCGACAGAGTGGGGACTTGCGGTCAGCCGGCACAGGCGAGGGACGAGGCCGGCGGAGACAGCGACGGCGGTGGCGGGCTGAGTCTGGAGCGGCGCTGGGGTTTCGGCCTGGAGGAGTTGTACGGCCTGGCGCTGCGCTTTTTCAAAGGTGACTGCCTTTGCCCCTTCCCGAGGCGGGAAAGTGGCGAAAGTCTCCCGACCCCTTGTGCCCCCCGACCTCTCAGTCGTAAGAGGGTCCGTGAGGAGAAAGCTTGGTAGCCTCCCGCCCCGACTCACGTTCCTAGAGCCCCGGTAATCTTGAACTAGGTGTACGTTTATTTGGTTGGTTTGTGTCTGTGGAGAGAGACCGCCGCCGCCCTCAGAGGCTTGTTGAGAAGCAACAGAAATACTTAGTTTGCAGGAGAATACTGTAGATTAGTTGCAGAAGTGACATTAAGTAGACTTCAGATATGCAGGCAAAAGCGAAATAGCTAGATGAAGTATGTTAACCTTTTCAAATAAGCCTGAGTTGTATGTAGACCAAGGACTCCTTTTTCAAAAGATTATATAGCCTTATGGAAATATGGGAGCCTGGGGGCATATAAAATGATATTGTGGTGCTTGTTCTTTCTTCTTTTAATGTTGGTTGCTGTTTTGGAACTATTTTTCATCTGAATGAATACAATCCTGAAAACCTTCCCAGAATATTTTAAGGCTAGATATACTTTTGAATAAAGTCACAGAAGGTAATATAAAAGCAAAGACAAAGAAGCCCATAGTTGGGAAAAGACTTGCTAATGTTTAAATAAAATATTAAGCCAAAGTACAGAACACACTGCAGCAAATTATGTTATAAATCCATTTTTGTTGTTCATATTCTATTTACAAGTACATGGCAATTGCTTCTGCAATACTACTGCACTTGGCAATATTTTATTATATGTTGGAATATATCTATGAATTATAAAAGTAACCAGGGAATGCTCTTTTCTAATGGGGAAGAGTTAGGTCTTATAATATGTACTCAACTTTTATAGAAATTCTCAATGTTTAGTATCTTTGGGAAATGAAAAAATATTTTAAAAATCCACATTTGGAATGACTAGATAGTAAGTTTATGCCCAGGAAATGTGAACTTTTGCTTTCATATTTGTTGATGTTGCTTTCACACTAGAATGTTATCTATCATGTAGTGCAATCATACTCAATTTTATTTCAAAGCAAGAGATAGTAAAATTTAGTATCATACATATGTAGGATTACATTTCTGAGCAAAATAAGTGCCATTCCTGATGTGATGTGTTTAACGTACATCAGATATCAGATCATGGGAACTGGATGTTAAATATTCAGTGAAATATTTAAGATCTTGTCACAAGTGTGCATATTATCACTTAGTGCAGTCTCAATATTTCGTTGCTTGCCATAACAATTTGTAGACATAGAAATATTTAAATACTTCATTGCTGTTCCTCCTGGAGGAGGAAGACATAATTTATTACATATTATAGGCCAGAAGTTAGCCTGAGCTGCCCATTTAAGTACTTTGAGGTGATATACAGTATTCTACTACCATAAATATGCATTTCTTGAAATATATTATTGCCTTTGAAGGTCAGCCTAACTAATCACTTTCTGTGTAAGAAATGATTGCTTCTATAGAAATCAAAAGGAATAAATAAAGTTACTTGAGAATAATTATATATTGTCCTCACATATTTGTTACAACTTTTATATACAACAGATAGTTTCAGTCGGTGTCAAATGTGGTTTTCAGATACTCCATTTCTCTGTTGTTCTTTATGCCACTCCAAATTCTGCCAGGGATGGTTGGGGTATCTTCTGAAGCAGATTGGGAAGGGGGATTGAAAGTAGGGGTTTCAGATTATGGAGATCCATAGTTTTTAAGAGCACCTTTACTGTTAACCATAACAGTTTTAAAATGTTATTAGTTTAATTTGGTATTTATATAAACATTATTTATTATTTTAAATAGTTTGGAATGCTAACAGCTATTCTGTTTTAGATTGAGTCTTTCAGATTGACATTTTGTAATAGGAGAGATTGCAGGACAAAGTGGTAAAGCCCATATTTTGCATGCATGAAACCTTAAATCCTAGTATCTCCAGTACTAAGACTGAAGGAAAAGAATGGAGATATATCAACCTAAAATGCAAGGTCTAATATTTGTAGAGCTTCTTAATATTTTGCTCTACGAAAAAGAAAAAAATAAATCTACTAAATCAGGCTGTATATACAGTAATATATTTAATATGGAAATTGACAACCTGAAAGATACGATGTATAGTAATTATGCAGTGAATAAATTTTTACATACTGTGTGAAATGCAGCCAAATGCCGCCTGGAAGTATTAAGACATTACTGTAAAGTTGGCTTTTGATAGCCAGTATTATATTGGGTTAAGTGTATATTATGTGTGTGTGTGCTTGTGTGTGCATGTGCGAAGGTTTACAGCTTTTCTGCCTGATGTGATGAAGAGTATTATACACCTTTGAATTTTGGCATCATTTCAATGGCTATAAGGGAGAAGATTATCTACTGCTTTCTTATGAGAAAAAAGGCATATTTAACAACATATGTATTGCTTTATAATGTTAACAATATGTATGAGTTCAGTATTAATGAAACTATGAAGCTTAACATTATAAAGGTTTTTTTCAGGCCACCATACTTAGGAAATATGCACAACTCTTAGGGCAGTATAGTATATTAACAGCTCTCAGTACCTTTATATTTTAATCCTTTAATATTAAAAATAAGTGTATGTGAGTTATATCTTACAATATTTACAGGTGTTTTATTAAAAGTGAAAGTCCTCTCTCCTTAAATTTGTTTAATTTTCTCATGTCATGAACAGTGTAATTTTCAGCATGCTTAGACTAAATTGGGAAGTTGACAAAACCATCCAAGAAGGTAGCAATGGCAAACAATTTTCATATTGCTGCCAAAGAAACTACATGGATGTATCCAAGACGTTTTCAGGAATCAAGCTCAAAAGGGCCCTTACTTTTTATTCTGATATAGACAGTAGCACTAGACAGCATCTAGTGTCCTTGGCTGATCTTGAAAAAAAGCTAAGTCAAGTCAGGCCCATTTAGTACTTGGATAATCAACTACCATGAAATTTTAGGGCTATGGACTAGACTGGGAAGGCAAAAAAGATCTTGGACAAAAGCAGTGGCAAACCACTTGTATATTGTTAACAAAAAAATTAACTTGGATGTGTTCATGTAGTCACCAGATAGAGCTTGATTTAAGAGAATCTGTTATTTTTAGACATACGTTTCACTAAGTTGAATAATGCTTAGAATATTTTGTGGTTCAAAATCTAATTAAATATTTTCTGTTAAATATACTGGAGGTGAATAATTTTTTACTTTTTACTAAAACAAAACATTTCTGCTTGTTTACTAATTAGAAGTCAGTGTCAGTTTTAAGATGTTAGAATATTTTCCAATTCGAAATTTCAAAAAACTCGCATTGTGGATAGTGTGTGATGTTTCTACAGTCTACATTATTATGTTGGGAAAGAGCATTAATGAATTCAGATACAGTACTGCAAATTGTGACTTAGAAATCTTGTGATTTTCAGGGGCATAGAAATATGCTATTTGCTCTTTTATTTTAAGAGCAAGCCTTTGACGTCTCATTCTCCCTCATCATAATTTCCTTTATCTGCTTCCCTGAATTGATTCCACATTGTTCTTCCTTCCTCCCCCTGGTATCTTTCTGGTTAAAGCACATTTGAGCTTTATCTTTGGAAAGTGTATTCATATGGGTAGTATTTCAGCATTCAGTTTGCACTACAGTATGTAAATACCAAAGGTAGTACTCTGTACTGCATTTAGAAAAATAAAGATAGGCTGACTCTTAATTCTGTGCTGTAATTTACAACTGACTATTAAAGAAAATTTCTTTAGTAGAACTTTTAAGATCATGTCAATTGAAAATGCATCATATATGTAATATTTAATTTTTTGCATGTGGCTTCTTGGTAATTGTTAATACTGTTTAGAGATATGTCCCAGAATAATTAATCTTAGTTAGATCACTTAATCTGAAGCTGTGAATATCTTTTAAAAACTCTTCTTGAAAGACTCTGTACAAACAATTACTACAGCATTTGGATCTCCAGACAATACTCTAAAATTCTGATTGTCTGAAGTGTGTACTTTAATTTTTCTCCAAGTTCTTGCAAACTAACATGTTCTGGAAAAATTAAAATGATTTTCCTAAATATAATACATTCTATAATAATAGATATAAGTGTACTCTAAAGACCACTACATGGAAATATTGATTTGCACACATGAAAAATTCCCTTCTTGTTCTCTTCTTTTCTCCATTTATTTGGATAATTTTTGGAGACATTTCTTAATCTTGTATCACTCTCTTTTCTTGGTATGTGAAAGGATTAGGAATCCACATGTACCTAAATGACCATCTAATAAAGCCAAAAAATGCAAGTTTTCTGTTAAAAATATTGGAGTTGCTAAATCAAAAACTGTTTACCATCTCATAGTCAATTTTAAATCTCCTTTGAAAATTGTCAGGAGAAAGTACAATTAAAAACATGTAGCAAACAAGCATGCTGTAGATTGTGGCTACCACCACTGGATTCAAGAAATGTGGTCACTGTCATTGCTCTAAAGAAATGTTCTATACAAATGCTACAGAGCTATGCTTGGAGTACAAAGTAAGAAATAATAAAAGTAATGTTAGGCAGAAAGAAAAATTGTGGTAAGTTGAAAGTTTTAAGTTGATAAACTATGTTGGAGTGTTACAGAGTAGATTATCCTACTTTGGCAGCTGTGTGGAGTTATCCTTGGTTGATTGATTTATACAGACATACAGGTGCATTGGAAAAGTACATGAATACTGGGGCCAAAAGATTGTGATGCAGAGGGTTGCAATATACCTATTGAACACAGATTTATACAAGATAAAAACATTGTTATCCCTGCTGATATTGTCTGAAATATATATATTGGGAAAGAAGGAGAAAGGAGAGGAGAGGAAAAAGGAAAAAGGAAAGGAAGCTAATCCCCACCTTCCAGTCCCAATTTCATCCAAATCAAGCTTGAAGAAGGATAGTAGGATATTACTATCAGATCTGGGCTACAAAAATGCCGATGACTGCCAGATGGCAGCAAAGAGAGTTTTCTGTATCTCCTTGCTCTCATCTAGTGGTAGACCTAAGTTTTGGAGCCCAGATCTGCTAGCCATAATATTGGTCCGTCTCTTTTGATATCATTGAACTATGACCTTCCAGACAGCAGGGGCAACATAGGGCTGTTGACCTGAACATAACATGAGAGAAATTTGATACCTGCAACAAAATGTTTCAGTGTATCCTAACAAGAGTACATCACTTTGGGATATCTGCTTATCAACCATGTTGTATTTCAGGATAAGCAGTAATGGTATCAAGAAGATTGGCCCACTATCTCTCTGAGCTCCTGGGTTTTCTTTTCCAACTCAATATTCCATAGTTTCTGGAGGCTCTGACTGTGCTCAGTCCTTATTGAAATGTATTTTGAAGTTTTGTTTTGTTTTTTTAACTTTTGGCATATCTTAGGGTCACCTGAGCACGCTAATATTTCCTTTTCTTTTCCATGGTCTTAATTTCTTTTCAGCTTTGTCTTGTGTAGAGACTGACTTTGTTACTGGTAGAGCACAGAACATATTGACAAGAGAGCATATACATTGTATTTGAAGGACACCCAGTAATTAAGCTCCTGGTGTGAATAGGTCTTTTAATAGTATTATTTGTGCAGATAAAGGACATTATTGACATTTTGGTTTGTTGGAGGGCCTTATCTCTCTATTGTTGGGTAAGTAGGAGGTATTTAAGCAGGACAGGCCTATCACTCTAACTCTGTAAGAAGTGTTTAGCTGGGAGCAGCAGGTTACTATTAGATATTTTGTCACTTTGTTTTCAGGAATGATGTTCAAAACAAATAATTTCTGGGTATCAGCTTGGATTTTGTACTTCATTAATTGTTCTTGTTTAAAAGTATATGGTACAGATCAGTGTTTCTTAAAGTGTTGTCCTAGGACTCCTGGGGGGTCCCCCAAGACCCTCTCAGGGGTCTGTGAAATCAAAATTTCGCCAGCCTATTTTGAAAAATAATACAATATTAAAATCCCATCAAACACCCATGAGAAATGGTAATGGCAGCAAATAAATCAATTTTAATTTTTAATATGGTAAATATTGATAAATATAAACCATACAAACAAAAGCTCTTTTGTGTCCTCCATCATTCTTAAAAGTTGGAAGGGGTCCTGAGACAAGAAAAGTTTAAAAAACACTGGTATAGATAATTCCTAAATACTTTATTGTCAGAAAATTACTCCCTCATTTGTGTTTATGAATGACCCAGGAAACTAATATTTTGAGATAAGTACACCAAGTAAAGTACCCTGAAATGGCAATCCAGGCTTGTTTTATTATACCAATTGAGGCTTAATCAAAAAGTGAGAAGTGTCTGAGTAATATTTGGACCAAACTGTACACCTTTTGAAATTCCACGGATAAGATATAATACAAATGGATTATGAAAAGACTTGGGGAGCTGGTTTTATTATAAGAAGAATAATTTCACACCTTATCCATCCAACTTTAACATATTCAAATAGGGCCAAGTAAAATGGCTTTGCATAAGATGGGGCTGAAGAGTGAACAGGAATTCCTCCCATGCTGTCTAGCCTGAAATTAGTGTGGCCGGTATTTGAGACCTCTTATGCCAATGCCAACAAGAGCATGTTTTTGTAAGTTTCAGCGGGCATCCATACAGACTCTATTATGATAATATAGCATAACAGAAATTACTCCTTTATACTGACTTGCTATATGGCAGAATAGCTCCTGCATTTGCGTCTTTGTTCCATGTTTCATCAGTCAGCATTTTTTCAAGCAATAGCTTTTGCTCTTCTATATGTTTTGTAAATTCACTGAATGTACTGTAGTAGGCATATGCTCACTAAACCTAAAAATGTTCTTTTCCCCCCCCAATAACTTGTGGTTGACCTGGATTCAATTTAAAATAGACTAAATTTTTATAAGATTATCTTTGTTGTAAGTACAGTTACATTTGATGCTCTTGCTTACTTCAGGTGAACCCTTTGAAACCAGATCAATGCTTATGGGACATAAGTTTAAAACATATGACATTCCTTTTGTGGCAGATGTTAAAAAAACTAGATTAAACTTGTGAAATGGATCATTATTTATTTGCTGTAGTTTTTAGTAAGGTCCTTTCAGTCTTTCCATTCCTGCCTGTTAGCTCATTTATCAGTCATATCTGTAAATAATTCATTAACCTGCTCTTTAATAATTAAAAGTAAAAACTATTTGTTTACTTCACTAATGTTTTTGTAATTTTATTATGTAATTTAAATTATTTAAATTTATTATTTAAATTATATTCTAGGATGTATTCGTAAAATAACATGAATACTTTCTAGGCATATTTTTATCCTAGCTGTATAATTAGAAATAGGATTTATGTATTGAAAATAGTAAAAGGAGAGGCACATTGTTTTTATAAAGACAAAACCACATTGATATAGATAACTCTGGATATATGTGGATTTGTGATCTTATTTGTTTATTGCTACCCATTTTTTCTGAGGTGCACAGGGGAGCTTATAGTATTTTTTATCTTCACAATAACTGCAAAGTGGGTAAGACAGGCCTCCAAAGCCACCTACTGAGGTTCGTTACTTAGTAGAGACTTAATCCACATCTTTGATCCTAGTTTAGTATGTTAACTTAAGGTACCATACTCTTTTTTTTTCAATAAAGTTCCTTACCACATATGAGGCTATTAAGGTGAAGCTACCATTCTTGATGGCTTTCCATGTAAATGTGTGTTGGGATAAGGCTTTATTCATGTTCTGAGTGTTTGCATGGAATTAGGTCTCTATGACTGAAGTATAGAACTGCTTTTCCCTGAAAATGTAGGTGAGCCTTTGTTTATTACCTTTCTTGGAGGTAACCTGGAAAAAATCAATATTCACTCCTCAGTTCTCTGCAGTGGGCAACCATATCAGCTGGCATGACTGATACCACTGTGAGGGACCATTACAGATGATATGACATTCCATCATGTTCTTAACTATGGAATGTATAGCTCTGTGGCATTGATCATTTATATCTTGAAATTCACTGTATCTTTTACCTTCAGAAAAAGATGGCAAAGCCTTTCATCCCACCTATGAAGAAAAACTCAGACTGGTAGCCCTGCATAAACAGGTTCTGCTGGGACCTTACAATCCAGATACCTGCCCTGAAGTTGGATTCTTTGATGTACTTGGAAATGACAGACGGTAAACGTATTTATAGATATATCTATGAAATACATTGTTTGATTTAGTCAACACATTTTAACCTAAGATTGGACTGTGGGTTGAAATGTCAGTAGTATGGTGACGTCTTATGAATTTAGTGCCCGAGCGCATTTTTAACATTTCTAGAGGCCTTTAAAAGGTGGTTGTCTGTCTGTCTGTCTGTCTGTCTGTCTGTCTGTCGACAGAAGATTTGTATTTTGTGACAAATCTTTGTAACAATCTTGAAGATGAAGTTATTGGCTTTACTTTTTAAAACAGTAAAAAATGTCAAACTTACATACATTTGTTCTCGTTTTCACACAAGACAGCAATATGAATTAATATTTAATCACTAATATATTTGTTATCTTAGGGAGTCATCTGATAAGATTTTGTGTATATATGTGTGTTGTCATGCGGAGTTCTTAGTGTTCTCGGCAGAAGTACTACTTTCAAAAGTATCTATGTTCAGAGTTGTTTTCTGGGAACATTTTCCTGCCCAGTTGGCTTAGCATCAAGTTAAGCATAAATTGTTGTGTTTATACTTAATTTGATAGGAACTGTCTCCTTGTTATCTCATCATTGCAGGAAAGAATGGGCTGCGCTTGGCAATATGGCAAAGCAAGAAGCCATGACAGAGTTTGTAAAACTCCTGAATAGGTGCTGTCATCTCTTTTCAACATATGTTACATCCCATAAAATAGAGAAAGAAGAGCAGGAAAAGAAAAGGTATGCTTTTGTACTTCTTTGGAACCTTGTTCTAGTTCACATAGATTCCTGTGTCCTGGCTATCTTTCCTAATAATCTCTTAGTTCTTAATTACTTTGTAACAATCTTGAAGATGGAGTTATTGGCTTTACTGCAGTTTTTCTTAGCTGTGAAATAATTTGCTTGCTTGTATTAAAAATATGAATATTTTAGGCAAATATGAGGAATATTAGTAATATTTTAAATGTTGCCTAAATACGTACTTGTCACTAGTGCAGAAGAATCTTAGTAAATATGTAATGTGGTTTACAGTACGATCAGTTCAATGCTTCATGTTCATTTATTGTGGTAGAGAAATGGCATATTACCTAGTATCTCACCCAGTGTCTGGATTGCTGTCAAAAAATTAAATGTATTCGCTTCCTAACATAGATTTGGTTGCTTATTGATGGCATTCTTCACAAAAATGTCATCTTGTGAAGAAACAGATTTTGTTTTCTGTTCTGTTCTGTTTTGCACCAGAGTTCAGTACATAGTTAGTTTTTGTTGCATTTCCCCAAGTTTATTGGTAAACTTTTGGATTGTTCTGATGCATAGTAAGAAATGATTTTAAATTTTTTGTAATAGTTCTGTGTACAATGTTATTTCTGAGAAGAGATTACTTAAGCCTTCTGTGTTCCATTTGAGTTGTTGTGGCCTTACTATGCAGGCATCATTGTGGCTGGTTCCAAGGTAAGTTTCTCTAGGATTACAGTCCTGGAGAATTCACTACAGTAAAATCATGATTTAAAAGAATATTTGGAAGGGGTTCCTTTAAATCCAAATATCTGTTAAATCCAAATTGACATAATTGACATTATTTGCATTAATTGATACAAATTATGTCAAATTACTTAAATACATGAATTATGTGAAATGCCCCGACTGCTTTGTGAACAACAGATTTTATCTGTTATTTGGGATGAAGTCCAAAGTTAAAAAAAATCCATTCCATTTCATCCAAAGTCTGCTGAATAGGGATAACTGCAAAATCAAGTTTTTACTGTATCTTCCCACTAATAATCTAATCAAGTAGAACACTAGATTGCTACTAGATTAAACCATAGGTTCTTTTTATCCAACATTCTCAAATGCCTCAAAGAAGCACCTTGCAAGGCAGCATCTGCTTTCTTGGGCTCCCCCATGGCAGATAGTTGGAGCTGTATGACCTTGACTAATGGAGGAAATGTAGCTCTTGTAGATAGTAGCCATTGATAGTTTTATAGAGATAATCTTATACGGGTTCTTCATTTTTAAATCCAACGACAGCTCTTTAGACTGGTGGGTAGCTACACTTGATTTGAAACCTCGTTCTTCATATTGCAACATGAGAAGCTGTACAGAGTTACAGAATAATTAAGTGATAGATATGAATATTACAGGAGGGAAGAGGAGGAACGTAGACAACGTGAAGAGGAAGAACGAGAGCGTTTACAAAAGGAGGAAGAGAAACGCAGGCAAGAAGAGGAAGAGAGGCTCAGACGGGAAGAAGAGGAGAGGCGGAGGATAGAAGAAGAGAGATTCCGAATGGAACAGCAAAAGTAGGATTCAGTAATACATGATTTGATTATATCATATTTGTGTCTTACCTTTTTTTAAAAAAGAGCTTTTGAACATGGGATTATCCCTTTTATTCTCACATTAATGGAAATGCCACCTTGCCCAAGGTCATACAAGTGATTTTTACAAGTGACTAAATATTTTTAAAATTATGTTTTGAGTCCTCACAAAGTGATATACAAAAGGAGTAAGCTGAAGTTCACTAGAAATAAACATTGTGTGTAGAGAACAAGCTTGCAGATTCAACCTATTACCATGGACAGGTAAACCATTTTTGAGTTGATTTAAAATACTGAAGACAAAATTCTTCAAAGGCATATCTAAATTCATGTACTGAATTTACAAGTCCATTGGAAGAAAGTTTTGCTAAGAAAGTCTTAGAACTGTAGAGCTTGAAGGGGCATTTAGGCCATCAAATCCAGTAATGCAGGAATTTAAATTATAGCATTGTTATCTAGCTTCTGCTTCAACATATCACACAAAAGATGAATCTACCATTTCTCCAGCTAATTGGTTCTACTGTTAAACTGTTAGAAACTTTTTTTTCCCTGATGTTCAGTCAGAATCATTTTTCTGGTATCTTGAATGCATGATTTCTTGTCCTGTACTCTGGAACAATGAAGAACAGGCTTTAACCCTGCGTGACATCTTTCCAGGTATTTGAAAGGTGTCATTATATTTATCCTCCGTTTTTTTTTCTTCTTAAAACTAAACAACTCCATTTCCTTCAACCTCTTTTCATACAACTTAGTTTCTAGTTTCTTGATCACCCTTGTTACTCTTCTTTGAACCTGTTCCAGTTTGTCTGAATTTTTATTAAATTGTGGTGCCTGGAACTGGACATAGTACTTGAGCTGGAATCGGAGCCAAAGAATTATTTCTTTTTGTAATTTGAAAACTGTCCTTCTGTTGAGGCAATCTAAAACTGCATTTGCTTTTTTATAGCAACATCTCACTGCTGACTCAGATTCAGTTTGCAGTAAATTATTGTGCAATATTTTTTTCATAATTTTTTTTCATAAGTTTTGTTGTGAACAGAGATAATGCAGAGATAAGTCCTATTCTGTACCTGTACATTTGATTTCTGTTTCCTAATGAGAAACTTTGCATTTGTCTTGATTAAATTGCATTCCCATTTTCTTCCCATTATTTAATTCTATCAGTATCATTTTTATGTTATTTGTTTATCAATGGTATTAGCTATCCCACCCTATTTCTTGTCATGTGCAGATCTGATAAGCATTCCCTCTACCTCTTTGTCCTACTCATTAATAGAAATGTTGGAATTGTGAATTCCATACTGGACCTTATAGCACTGTACTCAAGATCTCATTCTAATTTGATAAGGAACCATTGATGCCAACTCTTTAAGTATGATTTCCAAGTCACTTATGTATGACTTATGTGTCACGCCATTCAAGTCACACTGAACTAGCTTGCCTGTTACCCATGGATAGCATGCTAAACTTTTTAAATTTGAGAAACTCAGTGTAGAGGCAACATCAGTTGTGATAGTCAGAAACTTAAAGATTTAAAAGTTAATATCATCAAATTGAAGAGGATCTGAAAATCCAAATGTAATCAAGGCAGCTGGTACATGCTTAGGCTGGCAACTCCTTACCATATCTAGGTGGCTACAACTTTCATCTTTATGGCTTTTAGAAACCAACTCATTTAAACTGAGTTGCAGTAATATCTTTGGAGATAATCACTAGGAATGCATGAGTAATTGTTGCTAGATCTGGCATATCCAAACAGGTGAATCGCTTGCTTACAAGCTGAAGCTTGTAAAAAGAACTGATTATTGCCATCCTTTATGAGGATTGGAACCTGTATCTTCCTAAGACCAGGACAGCCATCTTTTTAGATTGAAAGCCTATTAGCCTTTGCAGAACCTTAGAGGCCACATAAAAATATCAACTTGAGTGGTGCCACAGTGGTCACAGCCATGGTCTCTCTGTTTTATATACACAAAAAGACAATGCTAAGGATCAAAGCATGGAGAGGTCTAATGTCCTCCTCCTCCACACTTACTCCAATAATGTTATAAAAATTGCCCTCTTTTTGTTACCCCCAGATAAACAACAGTCTTGTTTAGGATGGCTGTGAGGGAGAAGATTAAACTTATTAAGATTGCTGTTTATATTCTATTGTTGGTGGCTTAGAAGCATGTAATTTTTTCCTATACCAGCAGATTGCTCATCAGCTGGTGGGTAGGGCAAAGTGGACAGAGCTCCCAGGGCTGCTGTGTCACTAAGGGATTGCATGCAGGCTACAGATTAACCATATGCGGTGTGTTCACTACATTGCACTAATTAAAGAACAATCTCTCCTGCTTTTTTGTTAAGTAATTCAGTTGATTCCATTCTATACAGCTAATGAAATGTTATATACTGCTTTCCCTTTCTCTTAAATCATGACCAGTATGTGTTTTTGGCTCAGTTTTCATAAAATAATAATGAGCTGTTTTAATATCTTATTTTGTAAGCAGAGCCCTTAAACAAAAGTTGCAGCATTGAGTAATTCTTTTCAGGATGTTGGGCATCCCATTCTGTTGTTCTTTTCTTTTAACGCCTCTCCCCGCTTCACCTCTCCTCGCCACTAGTTAATATGGTGCACCACTGAGTATAGGCTGTGTTTAGGAATTTTAGGGAGTATATCCAGTGCCCAGTGCCAGCAATGTTAACATCAAAAAATAACTTCTCAGTGTGTACCAGTGACCCATCAAAATTATGATATGTGTTCTGTACTCAAAAGTCGAAATGTGGAGTTAGTCTCCTGTTCCACCCAGTCTACTTTGTTTCCCCTTTCCATCTGGCTGTTAGTTTTGTAATGCTCTCTCAGTGTTTGTACTAATAAATGTTATGGATCTTCCTTGTGAGCCTTAGGTTGTTTTTTGGTTTCAAACTTTTCTATATACAGAATATTTTACCAACACATCTGGGCAGTGCAGTTTTAAATACATTGCCATCGGCTCAAATTTGTTTTAATGTATGGTTTTAGTAAGTGTTCCTATCATATTAAAATTTACCATTTACATTGAAAAGTTAATGAAAATTGCAATACATTTAGCATGAACTCTTGGATTAACCTGAAAGATACAAAACTGTTCTCTGAATGCTTAAAGGTGAAATTGCAATTGTGAAGTGCTGCTACATTTTTGTGGATAAATCACCAGCATTTCAGAAACAAGCCTGAGAGAGGATCAACATTTATGTGAGGTTTTACTCTGGCAGAAGCTGAGTTCATTAAATGGGCTTTAAACAGAGGGAGTAATATTTAGGGAGTTTTCTTAAAAATTAGAATTGGGGATTACCACTTTTGGAAACTTGAATGGTAGATCTCTTTGTCTTCTTTTCCCTGGAATCTGATTTTGAGATAATATGAACACTATGTAAAAATAGATCATAAGGCTTTGTTCCATAAATTTGATGTTTGTTCCACAAACAAAAAAGGGTATGATGTATTTACTGGATAAGTTTTTTTGAGACATATTCATTGGTTGTCTAATGTGTATCGTAGAATAAATGTGATTCATCTTTTGAAGGAATGATTGAGAAATGAATTATATTTTCACACATTATGGGAAGTAAAATACCTCATATTCATTATACCCATATATACATAACAGAAGTAATTATTTCTCACATTTTACATGTTAGTGGAGCCAAATATGAACACAAATGTCTTCTTGGAAAAAGTGAAATACAGATTTTCTGACTTGTAATTCAATCTTTCAAATACTGCATCTGACTGAGGGTTCATATTCCACTTGTATTCTCACATAAACTTTACTAATATGCTTTAGAAATAAAACATTCTGAGTCCCAATTAGTGTAACCAGTCGGCTCTTAGTATGAAGAATAGTTAATTTACTGTGCTTGAATCCAGTTAAATAGCTGCTCCTCCAGTGTCTGCAGAATTATTTTACTGGGGCAATTTGTTCTTAATTCAGACAACAGATAATGGCAGCATTGAACTCTCAGACTGCTGTCCAGTTCCAACAGTATGCAGCCCAGCAGTACCCAGGCAACTACGAGCAGCAACAGATCCTAATTCGCCAGCTCCAGGAGCAGCACTATCAACAGTACATGCAGCAACTTTATCAGGTCCAGCTTGCACAGCAGCAGGTATAGTATACCATGTTGGCAATTCATCTCTCAGAATGGTAGATTCATAATTTTCTGTTGAAACAACCACTGAAATTACTAAACTATACTGCAGGTACTTCTGAAGCTATAATAAATTCTAAGAATAAATAAGTACTTCTAAAGCTAGAATAAAGTCTAATAAGATATCTATATCACAGCAAATGGCAACACCTAGCCAACCAATGGTGATCTTGAAAAAGCTAAACAAGAATGACTAGTGCTTGGATGGGACTCTGTCAGGAAATCCAAGGGCTGTAAACTATGTCGAGAATTTGAAAGAACATCCTGGAAAAAGATAGTGGCAAATCATTTTTGCTGAGAAAACAATATGGATATATTCCTGTACTCACCAGGACAGCTTGATACATTGTGTATGTGTTTGTGTGTGTGTGCGTGGGTTGTTACTGATTTTCTTTGCACTTGCTGCACATGATTGCTGGGTCCACTTATTTTTGCACTCCACTTGTCCAGCTTTTTACAGTGAAGCTATCAATGCATAATGCAACGAAGGGCTTTATCAGCCAGCTTGTTATAGAGCCTGATGCTGATCTGGATTGAGAGAAAAGTCACCCAATTGAATTCTGGGCCTAAAGGAGGACTAGAATGTGGGTCTCCCTGCCCTGGTCCAGCACTTTAACACCATACTACCCTAGCCATGTGTATATGTATGTGTCTCTAAAATGCATCCAGTATTTATCCATTTTCCCCCTAAAGATGATAGAATTCATTCCAAGTAAAAATATAAGTACTGAGCTAATATGATTTGACTTCGCTAACCCATGTCCTCTTGGAAGCAGGTGTCCTGGAATAGGAAAAAAGGGAGTCATCATTAATCCCCACTTACCATTCTTTTGGGGGATGACTAAGAAGCTAAGTTTTTTTTTTTTAATCTGCTGCCTCTCTAAATAGATTTTTTCCCTAATGTTTGATAAAAGAATTGAGATATGATATAATTATTTAGGGGGTTGGAGTAAAACCAGGAAGATCCTCACTCATTTCATGAAGATTGGGTGACCTTAGTTTAGCCACCACCCAACCTCCCATGATGGCTGCAAAGGTGACATGAGGATCAGGGATGAAACATCCTGGAAAAAAAATCTTCCTCCATGTTATTTCTGAAATATTGAAAAAAAATATAAAGGGACAATAAAATATTTCTTAATGTTTTCTTATAAGTAATAACTAAAATGATTAAGATGTGAAAAAGTCTGTATCTGGAAATATGTCTCAAGAAAGATAAAACTTCGGTTTCAGAAACCCATGAAAACAATAAAAATAAAGGATTGTATGTAGTAGAAACTGCTGATATTATCTCACATTCAGAAAAGAGCCTCTTAGACAGTATTTCATATGGCAGAGTATTTATTCTAGCTTAAATGTGCTCTTCATTTACTGTATTCAAGTTTTTTTTTTTTTTGGAGAATTAGTGCTTTCTGTATCCATTTGGTACAATCCATAATGCATCATATAGTATTTCATATTGAGAAAATGAGACTGATCAGACAACATTTATGTAGCATAATACGTATTCTGACTGTTGGTGTCCCCCTTTCTCCTTTTCCATTTTTTAAGTTGGTGCTTTCTGTGATTAGTGGATCACAACATCTACAAAACTCAGCTTTGCTTTACTACAATACCACCCGTTTCTTCTTTTTTTGTGTTAATTGATAGCTTTTTTTAAAAGGCAAAAATAAAACAATGCTACTTTTTTTAGAATTCAGTAGCTTGTAGCTATATTTCTAACAAAATTAAAATATTTTAAAGTAAAAATCAATAATCATTATCTGAATAAACTATACGTTCCAATATGGGTAGTCTTCACTTACCAACTGCAGTTGGGCCCAGCAACTCTGTTACTAAGTGATCTGGTCCTAAAGTGAAACGTCACGTGACAGTGACCAACTTACGACATCAGTTCCAGCTGCAGCCATTAAGCAAATCACGGGTCGTTAAGCGCAATGTCACATGACTGCAACTAGCGACTTCCTGCTGGTTTCCCCATTGACTTTGCTTGTTGGAAGCCAGCTGTGATGGTCACAAATGGAGATCACGTGACCATGGGAAGTTGCAACTGTCATAAATGTGCACTGGTTGCCAAGCACCCATATTGCAATCAGGTGACTGCAAGGATGCTGGGACAGCCGCAACTTTGAGGACCAATCGTAAGTCTACTCATGCAGTGCCATTGTAACTTCAAATGGTCACTGAACAAGTGGTCAGTAAGTGAGGACAACCTGTACCACAACAAATATAACAAGAAAGTTAGTTACAGAATACATTTTACAAAGTAAGAAAGTTACTTTATATCTGTAAAAGGTCTAAAAAAAATCCTCAAATTTTGTCAGGTTTTTTTTCCAGAAATTTTGCAGCTCAGTTCAAGAGAAGAATGTATGTTTTCCTGAGTAACTTAGAGGAATGGCAGGAAAGAAATAACAATTAAAAACATAGTCCAGAGGAATGGTCCCTCCTTTCCATTTTATTACAGCATTTTTTAACACATTACATTTTAATGGCAGTGTTTCTGCTTCTTATTAACTATGGAGGATTGTCATACCTTAGTGGAAAGGCTGGGAAGTTTCAGAATCCTAAATGAAGTTTCTTTGGCTTAAATAGGAAATACAGACTTTCCCCATAATGAGTTGATCAATAACAATGTGTTCAGCTCAGGAATACTTTAGGCAGATAGAAGTGTATTGTAGCAGACGTTCCAGTTACTATAGCGGTTAATTCAAAAATGGATCATTAGTTTGTGACTTAAGGGCTTCACCAGACTCTGCCTCAAACATGAATCTAGACTTTGTACCTGTGTATAAGCTATGTGCTGCTATAGTTAACAGAGCGCACAGTAATTCTGCCAGTAATCCACTTCTTTTATATTGACTGCATAGAGTACAGCCTCTTTAATTCTGTTTAAATATGATGCTTACATTAGGCAGCTCCTGTCAAATACTTTGCACATTTTTATTGGCTTTGTGTATTTTTTTATTTGTAGGCAGCTTTACAGAAACAGCAAGAAGCAGCTGCCACAGCTTTAGTCACATCAGTATCAAAGGCAAAGTCAGCCACTGCAGGGCAAATCTCATCAGTCAATGGACAGGCTAATGCACATGCAGGCAGCCCTGAAAAAGACCTGGAAATAGATGCTTTAGAAGAAGCACTAGAGAATGGGCCAAAAGGTATGATTGAGGTTTATTGGACTCTTTAAAAAAATGATAAATAGTTCAGTATAGAGACCTGCTTATTTGTTGTTTCTGACTGGAGCCTATATATGCACCCTTTTGTAATTATTGGAGCTAGTGGCCTTTAGCTGCATTAAACTTTAAAAAGTTGGCCTGCAGATCAATGGCTTGCTGCCATGTAACTATGCAGAGTGTAAAACAGCCCAGTGTTCACACTGACCTTGGCTTCTCATCTATATCAAGATAGAACATGGCATATGGCTGGAGATTTAATCTTTGCTTACAAACGTGCCTTTAACCGACTCAAACCTGTGGACACTGTGATTTTGGCAGGGTGAGATTGCTTTTCCTCTAGGTCTACTAAATAATTTGGAAAGAGTAGCCCTGTAGCATAGCTCTTCTTTGTACTGTGCTTCTTGTCTATTGATATACCATCCCAAAACAATTCTGTGGGCAGATGTGAATTGCTTAGCTTAGCTGCACTTTTTTTTGTCCCCTCCTTCCTTTTAGAATCAGTTCCAGTAATTGCAGCACCTTCCATGTGGACACGACCCCAGATTGCTGACTTCAAAGAGAAGATTCGCCAAGATGCAGACTCTGTAATCACAGTGGGCAGAGGAGAAGTAGTGACAGTTCGAGTTCCAACACATGAAGAGGGCTCTTATCTTTTCTGGGAGTTTGCTACAGACAATTATGACATTGGTTTTGGGGTATATTTTGAATGGACAGACTCTCCTAACACAGCTGTCAGTGTTCATGTTAGTGAATCCAGTGAGGATGAGGACGAGGAAGAAGGTATCTTATTTTATATACCCAGCAAGGGTTTAAGCTTGTTGGAGACTCTCCACATTTTTCACTTCTTGGTTAAGCTATCTTATTTGAAATTTGAGAAGTTGATTCCAATATCAAGTGCAGGTGGGAAATAATAAATGCTGGAGTAATCTTTTCTTACCCTGGTACTTACAAAGATGTTGGGACTGCAATTCCCAGAATGCCCAGCTGGCCAGTGGGTTAAATCATTCATTGTGGGCTGAAGGTTATCAGGTGGGAAGCATGTTGATCAAGTTAATATTCCTTTCACAATTATTGTTGTAAATGACCAAAGTCTCCCTTAATATTACAAGGTTCATCAATTACAGCAGCTGTCCTACAGTACTTTACAGTGATCTCTCAGCTTGGGAATTTCAAAATCAATGTGGAATTAAAATAGAAAAATTCTCCTTGAGGTATTTACGGTCCCCAACAGCCATTCTAAAAAATCAGTCAGCCAATACCTTCTCCATTTGTACCTTCCTAGCAAACCTAAAATTTATATTATGTAGATTACCATCTAGACTCCAAGTTACATGGTTTGTCTTTTCATCATTTTTTAAGTCCTACCAAATTCATTGCCTTCTCAGTTTTCTTTTTTATCCTTGTGATTTCCCAAACTCTATTTTAAACCTTCATTTACTGTACAGTCTCTGCGCGATATTTTCTTCATAACTCTACATTGTTGAACAATTGTCTTAACATTCGCCTCTCACTGTGTGATAAAACACGTACAGGTAGGCCTCAGGTTACGAAGGCAATTAGGACCAGGAGTGCTGTTGCTAAGTGATGCTGTCATAAAGCACAATGTCACATGATCGCGCTTTACAACCGCATTGTTTAACAAGGGCAATCCAGGCATTCCCAGTTGCTGTTGTAATCCTGAGACTTCGTTAAGTGGGTCATCAAGCAGGGGCAAGTGAGTGCAGGAATGCAGGGGAAGGAGAGTGCAGTGCGAGCACAGGAAGGCAGAGGAAGGAGGATATAGTGTGAGAGCAGGAAGCCATGGGAAAGGAGGTCACAGTGCGAGTGCAGGAAGGCTGGGGGGGGAGGAAGGCATGGTGCATGCGAGCACAGCTGGGGGGACTTACCCAAGCAAATTGTGACCTTCCCCATTGACTTTACTTCTGGGAAGCCGGCAGGAAAGGTTGCAAATGGCAATAATGTGACCATGGGGGTGCTGCAGCCAGTTGTAAGTGGTACTTGGTTGCCAAGTGCCCAAATCGCGATCATGTGACCATGGGGGCACTGCGACGGCCAGAACTTTGAGAACTGGTCATAAGTACCACTTGTTCAATGCTGTGGCAACTTCAAATGGTCACTTAATGAATGGTCGGTAAGCGAGGACTACCTGTAATTATATAGCATCCAGATTCTAAAGTTTTGGCTATTTCAAAGAGCAAGACAATGGGTATTTGTGGATGATAGATAAATGTGTATGTGTCCTTTGCTAGCTGCATGTTTAAGCTAGGATCTTAATTTACATGTAGCTCATGATACAAATTTGCAGGACAATTAATTCAAATTGTTTCATTTCCACTAATTTAATTTTGAATTGAGTATAAACTGAATTAAGTTTGAGTTAAGTACTGACATTAATGGAGGCCATCCTTTGAGTATTCCTTCATGGGAAATAACTTTTTAGCAACTTTGGTTATACTAACAAATACCCTTTCATTTCCATAAAAACTGTAGGAAAGCAATACTATTACAGCTAGGCCAATATTGCCCAGTTATGAGGATGATAATTCTGCTAAACTTTATAGTTTTAAAAAATGGGATTGCGATTTTGCTGAGAAATCACTTAAGCGGTTTTTTTAGAATTGCCTATTAACATTACTATCCACATATATATTTGAGTAGATATCTGAAGAAAGGTTCAAAACCATGATCTTCATTTTATTCTAAAAGTACAAATCAACTATAAAACAGTGGAATTAAAAGTAGCACTTCTTATTATGCATTTACATTGAACAGTAGCATTTGTTCATTAGTTAAGGAAATTGCCCCAGATTGCAGTGAGCGGGTTAATTTCAGTTGCTTCCTTGCAAATCCTTGATATCAAAAAGTCAGGCTTTCTTGCTCCATACTGTTCCAGTATGAATAAGGCCATATCATTTTTACTAATCATTGTCTATAAATAATTGATTGTGGGATTTATTTGGCATCAAGGCATGTAGTCATTAATGCTTTATTTCTGACTTTTTCTCAGAAAATGCTAGCAGTGAAGAGAAAGCTAAAAAGAATGCGAACAAGCCTCAGCTGGATGAAATAGTGCCTGTGTACAGAAGAGACTGTCATGAAGAAGTGTATGCTGGCAGCCATCAGTACCCCGGGAGAGGAGTCTACCTCCTTAAATTTGACAACTCCTACTCACTGTGGAGGTCAAAAACAGTTTACTACAGAGTGTATTATACTAGATAAAGCTGTTACGTTGTTGGAGGTTGGGGTGGTGCAGAAGACATCATGTTGTTTGGAACTTTCCTCAAGTATACTGGACTTTTTGACTTCGTTATCCTGTCTAATGTATCTGGGTTGTGTGTGTGTGTGTGTGTGTGTGTGTGTGCTTGTTAACTTTGACACTGGGAATTAGGCTTTTATCTACAGCTCAGTGTTCATGAGATAGGTGGAGCTAGCATCTCCCATTTTTTCTGGTGATGATTCTTTACCAGAAGTCAAGACAAAAGTCAATTAAGTTTATACATTGACTTTCCTTTCAAGTCTAAGGCACACACACACACATACACAGACACACACACAGACACACATGGGGAGACGTTTCATTAGTGGCAGCCATGATGTTGCCTGATGTATAAATTTTGAACTTTTAAAAACAAATCTATTAGCTGTTCATTTGATGGTAACAGCCTTACTTGTGGGGGGAGGGGGAGTTGGATGCCATCTGCACTGTAGCAAGCAAGTTTCTTAATACTGTATTTGAATGTCAGATTTTTACACCATTAAACTTGAAACTTTAGTGGATGCAGTTTAGAAACGTATTTGACGTCTGTTCTCATTGAAGTTATTTGGAGCCTAGTATAGTATGGTTTGGATGAGATAAAGAAGTGTGTGTGTGTGTGTGTGATGTGCACGCATGCAAGCAAGTGTCCTTGTTAAAGGTGTGCAGACCCATGAGTGTACATATACATAAATACATGCACATATGCTTATCCATATACATCAGGGACCTCTTGTTTGATTGCAGGCTTACAAAGAATGGATTTTGGGCATCAAGAAAATAACAAAACAGATATCTATCTTTCCTCTATATCTGCTGCTATTCCTAAGATTGTTTTGTGTGTTATTCTTATTTTAAAAGAAAGACATAAGAACGTTTGGATAAAACTCTAGATTAGTGTCCATATCCCACCTAAAATTAATGAGATCCACTCTTGCTTTTGGAATTTGTGATAAAGCAGGTATATGTATGGGGCATTCCTGTTAGAGTGCATGTCTTTTGCAGCTGTATAGGTAAACATCCTATAATAGCATTTGTCTGCACTGGTTTTGTAGTCTGGGGATTTTTTCCTTTTTTGAAAACTGAAGCTGCCACATCCACTTTGTGTATTATCAAAGAGGTTTGCATTATTGCAGAATTAATATTGCACTAATGTTCTTGAAATCACTGCCAGGCCCACCCTCATCTTAATTTTAGGTTATTTTGGATTATCTAACTTTTGTTCTTTCAAATACACAAGTAATATTCCAACCTTCATATCAAGTCTGTACCAAAGCTAAAATTACACATTTGCTCAACAATGACTAAAAATTGAATTTTTGTCCTTTATTTTCAGTTACATAACAATTTTTATATGGACTATGCTTCCCAAAAGCAAGGCAGGAGTGCAGATGTTAAAAAAACAGTTTGTAGAGGTGTGTTATGCTTGACATCCCCATCACCAATTTCTCTTTGTAGAATAATTTCTTTGGATTAGTCAACATACATTTTGGAATACTACAAATAAATCTCACGGTATTTTGGAAATTTGGTTTGAATATTTGTATATACATGATTTTTTTTTCCTTTCTCACATCTTACGGAGATCTGTCTTGTTTGATTTAGCATTTTAAGCTTCTGTCCACCTAATGCTGTTCAGATAGCTCGGCTTTAACATGTTGTTTCCTTGTGTACATAATACTGTATAAGCAATGGAGTTGAAAAGTAATTTGCTTTTTTAAAGCTGTATTTTAAAAAGAAATTAGAGGCAGGCATTCATTCTGTTCCATTTCTTTTCATCCATACAGAATTATGATCTAAAAGTAAAAATGTGTTGGAGAGCAATACTTGTTGTAAACAGCACCAATTTTTGCTGTCAGGCTTTGTGGATACCCAAATTCCAAAAGTTGCCTCTTACTGTTAAATAGTGCAGATAAGTGCGCTTTCAAAATCTTGGAATAATATATTTAATCTGAATTAAAAATGCTTATATGGACTTCTGGCTTTTTCTTAAGTACTATCAACATTACTTGGCTGAGGGAAAATACAGATTATAATACTAGAAATATACCTTTAATGAACACTTTTTAACCCATTTTTTAACTCAGAGATTATGAAGTCTAGTTATGTTTCATTAGCATCCATATATATTTACAGATTTCTGTGTCTGTTATAAATTAACATAGGTTTAATTTACATGATTTGACTATGATTTCAGAAATGTTTCTGCCTCCAGAATTCAGGTTAATTAGGCAATATGGTAGGTTGAAATTGATTGAAAGTTGAAAATTCAGTATCAATTGAAAGTTTATACTGAAGAGATGCTACAAGACATCAAAGAGGAAAAGAAAAGCTGCTGTGTGAATTGGTAATATGAGGCCACAATTGGGGGGGGGGATAATGTAGGTCACATACCCCTTAGCTATCACTGGAAACTGAGAATCTTCCTTTAATTCCTCAAAGAGTGCACTTAAATATTAGAACAAGTTGTATGAGAGCTACCTAAGAGAGCCAGGTCACAAATTGGGGACCAGAATTAGAAGCTAATGCAGGCAGCACTCCACCAGCATCCTCAAGTGAATCTACACAAGTGAGAGTGCAAGCCAGGAACAATTGTGATGCAAGAAGGTACAGAAAATAATTCCAGCTAGTTGGGCAATAGAATCAGTTAAAGGCTACAAATCCAGGATTTTCTACCAATTTGATTTTGGGGAATTTTACTTCCTGATTCTACAGAAAGCAATGAAAACTTGAATAACTTTGGATATTTAATAATTTTCATGTCACTTGCCATTCTCACTCTAGTTGCAGAGTGTGAGCTACCCTGCAACAGTTGAGATGTACATGGGACCATCATTCTAAGTCCACTGTTTTCTTTGAAGTCATTACAGAAGCTAGGAAAGTAAGTGCATTGCCACATGTCCTCAATGAGTTGTGTGTGTTCATCATAATTGTAATCTCAGTTACCAAAGGTACTTAATTCACACTTTTTAACGTATATGTGTGAAGGATTTTTCTGGCCAATTTTCTTCTTATCTAAAATTCAGGAACCTTTCTAGCAAATATGATATCTAGTATACTATTTAATCACCTGAGTGTTTTTCAAGCAGTGCTAAAATATAATTGAGTGAGCCTTATATTGAGAGCTGGTTTGGTGTAGTGGTTAAGGCATTAGGCTAGAAACCAGGAGACTGAGTTCTAGTCCCTCTTGAACACAAAGCCAGGTGGGTGACTTTAGGCAAGTCACTCCCTCTCAGCCCTAGGAAGGAGGCAAGGGCAAACCACTTCTGAAAAACCTTGCCAAGAAAACAGGGACTAGTCCAGGCAGTTGCCAGGAGTCAACACAAAAACCAAAACCAAACTCCTGCATTACTTCCAAATAATGACTGGCTATTTTAAAATTAAATCTATCTCCTAATTAGTTTAAATGGGCAATAAAAATATTTTTTAGAATTAAAACAGTAAGTTGAAAGTTCAAAATTTATGTCTACAAGAAAAAAAAGGACCAGGCAGCTATAAATAATATGTACATACAAAGCATAACCAAGCATTGGTTTTCAATATGATACAGCTTTTCTATGTGATAAATTACAGTTCCCTGGATGATTTAGTAATATAATTAACTGGAGAGGAGGGGATTAATTTAATCTGAGGTAGTACCAAGTATCAGGTGGGCGATAACAAGTGATCCTGAACTCCTAGAAGGCTGATTCAAGGCACTCTGATAGGAAATAAATAATACAGTGCACTAATACAGTTTATCTAGTATTCTAAAACAAATATTAGAAAGAAATTTATAAAAAATTCACAGATTGAGATTCAGCCATGCTTGTTGGGAATGAGTGTGTGTGTGTCTAATTAAAGGGAAATGCTAATGTTGTTGGTTAACACACATTATCAAAAGCCTAATGAATGCCATAAGTATCTCTCCAACCCTTGGGATCTTACATTACATCTGTCAAGATGACAAAAATGGAACTCTACACACAGATAAACTACAGTGGCCAGGTCTTTCAGAGGAATGCAGACCTTTACATTTTAAAAAGTTTAAAAATAAAATTATTACCAACCCACTTACAATTGAATTTATTTCACTTACAATTGGATCTTGATATTTTTAAATGTCAAAATAATAGGATTTCATGCAAGATTGAAAGGTAGTGGATACAACCCTGAAAACCTAATAGTCTAATGCTAAAGGTCATATGCTGGTGAAAAATAGTATTAAAACTAGATTTGCTAAACATAGAGGAGATTAAGCCTTCTGACTGAAAAATCAGTATTAGCATATGTAAGTTCTGCCTCACTAAGAGTCTTAGACTGTATTAGAAGCATACAGACATGAACAAAAGCCAAGTCCCTCACCAAGAGACACTGAAAGAACTTCACACACAATGCTGCGTTCATATATAACACTAAGGATTTTTTTAATGGTCTGAATCACACACAATGCTAAACCATAAAGATGGGTTCACGCATCACAGCCAAAGCCAAATTCTGTTGTGACTTAGTGGCGTGTACAAAACCCAGCAGATGGATGAAGCAACACTAATTTTCCTCTCAGTAGCGGAATGGGAGTTCAATATCTAGCACTATAGAAAGTCTAACAAATAATAATAAATATAGCAGGATCAAAAGAAAATTCTAACTCGCACAGTGTAGTTCATGGAGGTTGCTGATGTAAGATGCTGTGGTGGCTTATGATCTTAAATGACTTTAGACCACCTAGAATCTCCACAATTTGTGTTGTGTGAGATGGGAAGGGAGAAAACATTGAGTCAGAAATGTTCTTGGGACTTAATGGGAAAATTCTTGTACTCTTCATTCTTTTAGATCAGTATGTGCTCTAGCTGATCTTTCTCTTCAATGCATTCTTTTGTCTATATATGACTCAGTAAAATTGGTGATACTGAAATTTGGGATATTTACTCTCAATTCGGGGGAGAGGTAAGCTTCAAAGGGAAAGGGCACTGTCTGTGGGTGCTGTGTTGCCAACCAGAGGAGGCAAGATAAATGTTGGATGAGGAAGGGATGGACACTCAAACATAGGAAAGGCAATGTAATCTCTATGCAGACCAGAAATTCAAGAACATTGTCAGTATGCATATTTTACTAAGTGAACTACAGTTGCCACTTCCTGAAAAAAAGACAAGAAATAAAAGCTGAAATATCACTCTAAAGGCATTACATTTCTTAAGTGATAAATGCAGAATGTAGAAAGATGGCAGAGCCTGAAGCTTCGAAACAGTACTAATGTAAGCAGTGACTAGAAATTAACAATCCATTAAGAGGAGTAGCCTCTGCGAAACCCATTGTTCTTATCTGATAATAAAAAGACCTTAAAGATGTACCTGGTAATCTAAGTTGGGAAAGCCAAGCATAAGTATAGGACTTTCACAGAAAGGGCACCCTCAACCCTCTTAACCTTTCCCCCCCAGAACAAAATCACAGATCTGAGAACAGGAACCCACATGCAAGAATATGCTGCTTAGAATATGTTGCTTAGAATATGTAACACCAGCCTGGCCTGAAATGGAAAGGTAATGGACAGCTGTGAGGGAAGAGGTATAATATACTCCATGCCTCTGGTTCCTGTCGTATTGTGTATGTGCAACAAACCCTCAGATTTCAGCTGCATAATTAGCTCCAGATTCCACAAAAAAGTAATTAACTGTATGACATCAGCATGCCACTGATTCCTAGCTACTAAAGAAAGCATTTATAAAGTATGTTCTTTTTCAATTCATTATTTTACACCAGGTTGGTGCCTTCCATTTGTGTACCCTACAGTTCTCGTCACCATAGTCACCCCTTTGCTGGCAATGGTTGGAGAAGGTAATTGTCCACTATGATATGTTCTTGCTTTACCCTGTCCATACAGTGGCCTTAGCTTGCAGAAACCAATTTACAGTGCAGATAATTAGAGATGGGACTTCCTGCTCCATGCAGGAACCCACTTTAAACTTTCCCTGACAAGTGGCTATCCAGTCTCTGCTCGAACACATCCAGTGAAGGGGAGACCCCAACCCTCTCTAGTCAGTCACTCTTGGTCTCGTAAGTCTTCTGCAGAACTTCCATGCCTGATCAGTTTCAAACTGAAAGTGGCCAGTGGAGGTCCCTGGAGCACTCAGTGCCAAAAAATGTGGTGAACCCCCCACAGATCCATTGTCTGAGCAAAGGTTTCACTGTCTCACGAAAGATTGGCCTTATGTGTGAAAGGGAATGTGCGGTGGGCCAGGTCATCGGCTGACTTTTTTCTGGGCAGCATTTCCAGTGTAGTTCATAACAATAGAGTTCTAGTAGTTCTCGTGGTGTCTGTTTCCTGAACTGACAGTATTTCCTAGGAGCTTCATTAAAATAAAGAATCCAAAACACCCCAGAACTGATGAGGGGGGACATTGTTCTTGTGTGTGCAGGATGGGTGAGCGGGATGGTGCTAATGGTGGGGGTAATTAAAGGAATGAGTCAGATTTCTGTCTTTCTAACACATATGCCAGAGGTCCACCTTATGTCTTTATAGCAGATCTACTGCAGGAAAAGCTCCCAGTGTAGCTGTACATCAATTAAAAAGCAAGTTCCTGCTCTCCTGCTTTCAGAGTTATAAGGGAAGGTGGGACTGGGATGGAACAAGAAAAACAAGAGTCCTGGGAATGAATTCTTGGTGTTCTCATGCTTTTGCAAAAACTGTTGGGAGTCTAATAGAAAGGCGGCCCAGTGGAGAGGGATTTCTCACAGGGATCGGAGCCAGGTGAAATTGGGCTCCTCTTCTTGCTCTCTGAGGAACACCCAGGACCAATAGAAGAGAATATATGTAGCTCAGGGTTGAATTGTGGAGTCCTTGGTGCTCTCTGAGCTTGGCTGTTTACTTGCAGTTGTACCCAACTAGGTAACATCATCAGTGCAAGTAAGTGTGGGATTTGCTCCCTGTTTATATACAGTATGCTCTGTCAGTTTTGGCGGGGGTGTGGTTTTCTCCTTGCTGGTTCCTTGATTAGGGTATTGTTTTCTGCTTGATTGTTTGCCTGGTGTTAATTCCTGC